TCCTCACAACTACATGGTAGAAATTATTTCTCCATCAAGGACTCCTCTGAGATAAGAGCTCTTTCCTGAGTCCATCAATTTCCTTAATATGGTGTTATGTTTTGTTTTGTTTTGAAACTCTGGTAAATCATCAGAATTACATGGGAGCTTTTAAAAAATAACTGGGCCCACTCCCAAAGATTGTGCTAGAACTGCACTGTGAGGAAAGAAGTAAGTAGTGGCATTTTTATGACCTCCCTAGATAATTTTAATATGCAGCAGCCACATTTTTTCCTGTTTTTCTCTCTTCTTTCTCTCGTCTCCTCTCCTATCTCTCCCCTCCACCCTTCTGTGTTAATTTTATTTTCTTGAAAAATGAAAGGAATAGCTCAAAGAGCTGTTCAAAAATGCCATCAATTGCACTTTCATCATTATCTAATGTACCACTAAGAAAGACAAAATACTAGCATTAAACTTTGACAAGCCAATGATTTTAAGACATACCTCAATTTCAGAAATGTTAAAAGTGAAAAATGTTAATATGAGACTTCTCCATCTCTAATCTATAATTACTCTACTCCACATATGTTCCCTTGAGCTGCCATCTACTATTCTCTCCCTTCAGGACCCTTCTCTCTTCTGCACCATCTCATCACTAAAGACAGAAAGGAACAGTGGAGGGGCAGAGCATTTGGGAGCAGAGACCCTCTTTGTTCACAGATTTCATAACAATTCTACCTTTACATGAGTTTTAAAAATCATGTCATTCATTTATAGGTCATAGGTATATTAACGTAAATAAAATATTTTCTTCCCAAAGAGAGAATAAAATTCCATTTTGGAAAATAGTACTAAAAAAATGAGTTCTATACAATGTTATAATTTCAGTGTTAGTTGATTTGATGGCTCAATGAAGTGCTTTTGCTCATCTGGTTACAATAAAATTTTCAGGTCAATAATAATGCATATGGCTACACTTCAAAATAAAAGCTTCATTTAAAAAAGCATAAAATATGCCTTCTTAGAAAATTATAAAACATGGGCTTTTCCTGAAAGATTAATCTTCCAAGGTATACTCAAAATATGGATTAATATGATTTAATAAATTGTTGTCAAGATTACTTCTGCAGTTAAAAGCAAAGAAATGTGGAATGGAATTTTAGCTGAACTTCTTGGCTAGTCTATCATTTTTATTTGCACTTTTTTGATACACAGTACTGTTTTCTTTCCTCAAATGAGGCTAAAAAATTCACCAATGTAGCCAAGTTTCCTGGGCTTCTATGAAGACTTGATTCAACACTGCAAAACACTTATATGTGTACTCACTTAACTGGAATGACACATTCACATGATCTTTTGGTCAGAGGTTGTGTCCAATGAGTCCTAGGAAGGTTCAAGCATTCTTGCATAGTTCCTGAGATGCTGTGGTCAGTTATATAAGGTGGCTGACATTGTATTTGTCTTAATGTGATTCCAGTCCCAGAAAATATTAATGCAGATGAACTTTATATTACAAAATGAAACTAAGTATTGACAAATAGAAATAGATTAGTTTTGAAAAATTCTCAATTCTTGAATTGTTAATATATAATAGTGTCATTTATTTTTTAGCACACAAAGAGGCTAACAAAATATTCACAGAAATTATCACCTTGTTTCTCACATCTAATGCCTTTAACAGGAGGCTATGAAGAAACAAGCCACATTTCAAAAAGAAAAAGAAACTCATAGGAAGGTCAAAGCACAAGTCAACAAACTGGAAAAAATGTGGGGAAGTCCTAGACAGAAACATAATGCCAGATTTAAGTAGAAACTGATAACTGCTTCTCTAGCTATAGGTAGTTTTATTCTTTCTATGTAAGAGGAACCAATCCTTTCAAAAGACAGGCATACAAGATGCAGGTGACAAAACCAAAAAGATTTGGTAGAGGTGTTCTTATCAAAGGCAGCTCCTAGAACATGTCTTTTCCTTGAAAAGCAGTGGCTGAGTGCAGAGGAGTGATCTGTTCAGTCTAAGGGAACTGTCTAACCAAAAGACACATCTTCCTGATAAGGTTCTACTTCCTTCCATAGCACAGGAATATTTCTGGAATAAAAATGGAGGAAGTACATTATTATGATGATGTCCTGTATCAATAATAATGATGGCAAGAACCTTGTTTCCCCATTAGAAGTTGGCAGGAAAGATGGGAATTATTTTCATTATCCTGGAATAAACTGTGCCTAATGCAGACAGTAAGAGATGTTATCTCATAGTGGAGAGTTTTGCTGGAATTTGGTGAGGCATTTGGCCCAATTGACTTCAGGAGAGGCTTATCATACTAAGGGTTTCTTTAAATTGTCAAAGTGGCTAAAGGGCCATTTTGTGTACCATTACAGTTGTCTAAATTAGAAGCATCTAACTCTTACAAAGAACGAAGGTTCTATCTTTCAAAATTTTGTATCTTTCCGCCTGCAAAGGCAGATGAAATCCCTAAATCTCGTTATCAAATGCACCTAGGCATGCTAACCTTTGAAGTGTGGTTAAGCCTTTCTGATAAAATGATTAATTACAGTTTGTATCTGCAGCAAGGAGAGAAATATAGTCACATAAATAAAGAATGTTTCCCTTGGTGTAGGTACAGAAACACCATTTTCTAGATTTAGGGATGTGTGTGTGAACCTCCTCAACACTACCTACAATAACTATCCCCATACCAAGTGGACAGACTTACGACAGACTTACAAGTAGCCAACATGGCCCTCTCTTAAGGAGCACATGTACAACAACAAGCAGCAATGATCAATAAATCTCTACAATGGAGGTAATGTGGATAAGCTGGGACCTAATGGGGCAAAGACTACAGAAAAGAAAAGTATCATGATTCACAGCAGCTTCTAGTGAGGCACTAAGATCAGGCTTCAGTTAACACTACTGCTACCAAGCCATAGGTGGCAAGCAGGTTTGCAAAAGTCAAGTAGACCAGATTGAAGTGAGGAGTGAGGAAAAGTGATCAAGGGTAACAGGCACATGATGGGGTGGATCAGCATCTATCAAGGCAAGCCTGGAGAAGTGCATTAGTGACTGAAAATTTGGCAGCAGAAACCAGAAGTGAGTTCCCAAGTGTAAGGAATGATGACTGAAGAGGATCACAGTCCCATGCCCAGCAGTCCTACCTCACCTCCTACCTCCTTGCTCCCATGGAAGCCCATCCTCTAGCAGAAAGAGTGTCAAGGCTTCCCCAGAGTCTCATACCTGTCTGTAGACAGGTCAAGCAGGGTATAAAGAAGCAATGCAGCATTACATAGCATATAAACACATTATTTTATTTAACATATGAGAAAATTCTAGCACCGTCTCCATCACTATACTACAGTCATGGTGTATTGATCCTAGTGTCCCATAAAATTCATAAATGAAACTGTTATATTTTTGTTAATTCTACTATTATATTATGCTACTTGTATGTAGTGACCATCTGTAATGGTAACATAAGAATCCATGCCACATTTCCAATCTGTGTCCCTCCTCCAAATCTATTAAGTATTTCTTTAAAAGTTTTATGTATACAAAATATCTGATTCTGAAACAGCAAAATCAATGCAGACATGAGACTGTCAGAATACAAGAGCAAACTCATTAAAATGCTGTTAAGACTGAGAGGAAACATTAGACTAAGTATTGGCTTTGCCATTAACAAGTTGTAAAGTCCAAGATAAAACACTAAAATTGTCTGGAATGCAATTTTAACTTTCGTAAAATGAGACAGTTGAATCTCATCATTTCTAAGCAAAAATTCAGCTCTGAAAATATGCCTCAGTTTTCAAGTCCAAATTCAATGGGCTTTTGATAATCTCAATGATACACACAGTTAAGAATATTATCTTTTATATCTGAAGGAAATCTAACACTGTTGAGAGAAAATAAAAGGTGGACATTTTTAAAGGAATCTAATACTTCTAACAACCTACAGCTGAATAATTTTAAAATACCTTTAGTGCAATAGAAACATAAATCAATTTAATTTAAATTTAAAGTCTAACTCTAAAAACAATGTAATTCTTCAGAATAATTTAGTAGACAGGTAGATCAAGGGTTCACATTTCTCACCACTGTGCTTTTAAATTTTAGAAGTTAAAGCTTCATAACATAAAATGCTTTGGAAGGCAAGTTATAGAGGAATCGGGGGCATCACAGTCACACAGTTCTTTGACCCTTTGTGAAATAAGCCAACAAATAACAAACAAACTTGCCTGTGACATTACTCTGTAGTAGATATTCTGAATCTTCATCTTTCTCCTATTTCCCCAGCACACATGCACACATACTGCATACACACAGTGCCTTATTTTCTACAGTAGTCTTTGTTCAGCACTGAAGCAGGTTTAGGGTGAAACAAACTCATATATATTTCACAGGAAATCATAACCAAAAAAAAAAAAAAAAAAAAAACCATGAAAGAGTACTACAATGCCTATTTTATTTTTCCTTTAAGGTTAAAAAAATAATAATAATAAATTATTTTGTTAAAATATGTTATGAAAATTTATTCCTACTTAACCAAAAACCCCAAATCAGAATCACATGCAAATCCAAACAAATTCAAGTATGATGCCACAAACAACAGGTTTAAATATTCTTACTTGGGTCTCAAAAATGATGACTACACTACTGTGAAATATGTGACTTTTTATAGAAGAGAAAATTCTATACACCTAGGCCCTTTCAGCTTAGTTTCCTACTTATGATTTACTTTTAAAATGACATTAAGGAACATTTGCTATTTATCAAAAAAAAAAAAAAATGACAGCATTATTCAATATTAAGCCTGACTGGCTGAGAAATAATTTAAACATTTTGAAAATGATAGAAATTCACATTTTTGTAGAATTAAAAACATGTAACTGTTAAACTGGTAAGAGGAAAATCAATTTATTCTGAGTAATTCTTAGTACTTCAAAGAATATACATAAAAACCCTTCACAACAATTCCCTGCCCTGATACGGTTAAATGCAAATTCTCTTTTCCATCTTACTCCAGAAAGCTCCTGCATACATAGCCGACACGCCACCTACTGCAAAACCAAGCTGACAGCACAGGCGATGCTGCCAGCATTTCCATTCCATCGCCAGGCTGGGACTGAATAAAGGCGTGTTTGTGTGGTAGTGTTTCTGTTTTAAAAGCCTCAAGCCAAGAAGAACAAGCTAAAATAGCATCTTCAGAAATGGAGCGTAAAATAATCAGAAGAGAAAAAGAAAAAGAATATGAAGGGAAACACAACAGCCTGGAAGACACTGACCAAGGAAAGAACTGCAAATCTACACTGATGACTCTCAACGTTGGTGGATATTTATACATTACTCAAAAACAGACACTGACCAAGTACCCAGACACTTTCCTTGAAGGTATAGTAAATGGGAAAATCCTTTGTCCATTTGATGCTGATGGCCATTATTTCATAGACAGGGATGGACTCCTCTTCAGACATGTCCTAAACTTCCTACGAAATGGAGAACTTCTGTTGCCAGAAGGGTTTCGAGAAAATCAACTTCTCGCACAAGAAGCAGAATTCTTTCAGCTCAAGGGACTGGCGGAGGAAGTGAAATCCAGGTGGGAAAAAGAGCAGCTAACACCCAGAGAAACCACTTTCTTGGAAATAACAGATAACCATGATCGTTCACAAGGACTGAGGATCTTCTGTAATGCTCCTGATTTCATATCAAAAATTAAATCTCGAATTGTTCTGGTGTCTAAAAGCAGGCTGGATGGATTTCCAGAGGAGTTTTCAATATCGTCAAATATCATTCAATTTAAATACTTCATAAAGTCTGAAAATGGCACTCGACTGGTACTAAAGGAAGACAACACCTTTGTCTGTACCTTGGAAACTCTGAAGTTTGAGGCTATAATGATGGCGTTAAAGTGTGGTTTTAGACTGCTGACCAGCCTGGATTGTTCCAAAGGGTCAATTGTTCACAGCGATGCACTTCATTTTATCAAGTAATTACCTGTCTTATGAACAAAGACAACAAGCATGCAGCCAGCAAGCTTCGGAAAACCACAGCATCAAAGGCATCCCAAATAGCGTGCCCAGCTAGCTCTGTACTACAGAGCCCTGCTGCTAATCAAGTACTGTGAGCTAATGGTATGTAAATTGTATCGCTAAAGATGTTCTTCTCTGGGGTGTTCCTGCAGATTGGACTCTTCCACCTAAAATGAAAACAGTAATCTTCTATATTCTATAAATAAAGACTGAATGCTTTTTGCTATTTGTTTATTTTTCCTTAAGCTGTCTTTTAATCAGAATGTCTTGGGTACTTGCACAAAAAATAAGCATGTACATTATCTGTAGTGCATTTCAAATAAATGGTAATAAAATATTTTAAGGGGCTTTTAAGGTTTAAAATCCTTTCTACTTATGGCAGAAATTTACAAAGAAACTGAACTGGTAAATTACCACTGAAAGCAAAACAGATGTGCAGATCTACCTGGAGCAGAGCTATAGTGAAACAAAATGAGATTGTATAAAGCTGTTAAAGCTATTGATTTGATTTTTAATAGCAGGCACCAAAAGCTTATTCACAATTTCTGTATCTCATGCTGGAATTATAGCTTAATTGATAATTTGCTGAGAATTCCTAGAAAACTGCTTGATGACAATAAAAAATAATTAAAAGCACTGCTAGCTTCTTTGCTTGTATTATAATGATAAAAAAGTTACATGTGTCACTTTAAAAACAAGTAGTACACTTGATGATTTCACACATTATTATTTATGCACTGATGTAATCGACCAGAAGGCTATAGTAACCCTGGCTGGTCTTACGAGTAACAAAAATCAGCAAATTCATTTCTTTGCACACTGAGCTCCAATACAGCATGAATAATATTCTCAATGGAGTGCATGGTATTAGAATAATAAAGAAGACCATTTTCACAATCATCTAAATATGTGTTCATTTTTCAAGCTCAAAAATATTAAATGAACATCACTAAACATTATTGTCATGGAAGAACTTTATTGATTCTTTTCAATAACTATGTTGATGCTAAATCTTAGACATGAGAGTTGTGTTGATTTACCCATGCTAATTTTTAAAAACTGTTTTACATGTGGTTGCTTTAATTAGATAATCTACAATCTGAACTCTTTAAATGTGAGTGCATCCCCCTTTCCCCCACACAAAGAACAGCTAAATCATTTCTATGCACTCATTCTTTGGTTTCTAAGAACATATTATATCTTAAATTTGCTCCTTTAAAAATAAAATATTAAAATTGATAACTAAATCTTAGATTTAATGAACCTCAACAAAAGATTTCTGAAAATGTTGACTGGGGTGATACTGTTAAATTAGTATACATACCAAAATTTTGACTACTCATAAAAAGTTAGAATGAATAAAGCTAATACTTATTCACAGAACTATAAGTGATTTTCAGTTACAATATTTAGGGTAATATAAAAGTTGGCTGTGTAAAAGAAATCTTTTTAAACCTATTATCCCAAAAAGTCTTTTGAAAAATTCACACTAAAAACAACAGTAAACTCCACATCAATTACACAGTTTTTCCTTTATGTATACTGAGAGGAAAATGTTTTTGTTAACATAGCAAATTTTCCTACTTACTTTAAATGGTTTAATCAGGACCTAAAGGAACTAAAAAAAAAAAAAATAGGGAAAAATAGTAAAATCTAACAGTCACTATAATTGAAATGTTTATATACTGCTCCAGTGTATGGATTTATTTTTCTTTGGCATTTTACTTCAATACACAAAAAGTGGTAGTAATTTAATGTCAAAGTCAGATTTGCTCTAACAAGATTTCATTACTGATAATAAAAACAGCCCTGACTGATATATTTTACAGGAGATATGGTTGAACCATCTCCTTAGAAGTTATTACAAGTAAGATTTTGCATCAATTCACAAAAAGATAAATTAAATTTTACATAACAAAGTTAATATTTTGAGAAACCACTAAAGAAATCAGATTCATTTTTATATATAACAAGCAAACAAATCATATCTAGATGCATTTAATTTCTCCTCAAGCTTCTGATAAATCACAGTATTATAAAAAATGTAATAATTTAGAAGAAAATTTGACTAGACTGGTTATCCTTGTAACTTTTCATAAATGTACATTATTATTATTTGTGTTATTTGTATGTGTATGTGGCACTAGGAGTCGAACACAGGGCCTCATGCATGCACGAAAGCACTCTGCCACTGAGATGCATCTCCAGTTCTAAATGTACCTTCTGAAATTAAAAATTACTTGTATTTGGACTTACATATTCAAATGCCTGTGATATTGCGCTATGAATAGAAAACACCTAGGTTTTAGTGTTTTCTGAAATTATTTAGAAATATATTCTATTCAAAAAACTCAAGAAATCATACAAAATGCCGACTATAATCCAGAATGAAGCTTTTATCACATTTTGTTTGCAATCAATGAAGAATTTTTCTCAAATCTTATAAGTAAATACTGTAAAGAATAAATCACAAAGTGAATCTTTATCTGTCTTTTGTTAAAGAAAGGCAATAAAAAGGTTACTATATAGTTGCCCTGAGCTAAACATATATTCTCTTGTATTTGGAATTAGTCCATGCAATGATTTTAGCACCAACTTTAAAATATGCAAAATACAAACATTCCTGATGGCTTTTACTATATTTTCAAAATGTATATGGCTAACTAACTTAAGCATTTGAAATGTAATTAATAAAAAGTAACGTCTGTTAAGTGTTTTACTATGTACAAGATACTATGCTATGAACACAATTATCTCAGTTAATCCTCAAACAACCCAAGAAAGATACTGATATTTTCTTATAAATGAAGAGAGAAAGACTAACATGCCCAAGATCATGGAACCAAGATTTAAAACTCATAGCAGTTCCAGAGCCAGCAGTAAGTATTGCCTAGTTTCTAAGGCCAATTATATTTCTAACACCTAAAACATGGCACAAAATAGGCATTCATGAAGTAGGTCTGAATAGAAAATCCCAAAATACAGAATCTCACGATGCAAGAATTCCTAAAATGTTAAGTGAAAAACTGCACTTTGGAAAAGCAAATAATATTTTTAATGTCATGTCATGTCATCTAAAGAACATGAGGTGAATCATCCATCTCACAAGACTAAAGAATATTTCAAATTTGTCTATTTGTGAATCTAGATTTTTACATATCAGGTTTGCTGAAAAGAAGGTTAACTTGTTATGACTTGTACAATCCACCGAACTAATACCTTATGAGAGAAAATATGATACAATGAAACCCACATAGATTCTGGAACCAGACTTGGGTTCAAATTCCACTACTTCCACTAACTTGTTTACAGGATCATAAGCAAGATCCTTAACTTTTAAATTTTCAACCTCTGCACAGCAAAACAGGGATAATAGTAATTATTTGATAAGGCTTTTGAAAGGTTTAATTTAAATTGTGAATTTTATGTAAAGTGCTCACCCTTCACAGACTTTCAATAATAACACTGATTATTGTCTAGTGCAAAGGCACATTCACAGCCATTAAAAATAGGCATAAAAACGCACACTTCATTAATTAGGCTTTCTACTTAAACAGAGAACTTTTAACAAATGCATACTTATTTCTGTGATGAAGTACTATAAGACACAAAAATATTCTTTAAATTACTATAAGCAAACAGATTTCATTTTATTAGTTTAAAAATACATATGAGTTTCTTGGGAATTATTTTTTAGCCTCAGAAAAATCTACAACAAAATAAATATAGCTGCTGTTTTATAAGCAATTTAAAATCAATGGAAGCAATACATGGGATCATGCAATCTTAAAGATACATCCATCTAATAAATTATGATTAAATACCTTAAAATGCAATGGTGTTAGTCATAGTTAAAATTACAGCATTTGAATCATAATTAATTGTCTTGGTAGTGAAGCAGAGACGTAATATGGACTAATCATGCTAAGAAACATATACATTATCTCACTTATATATCAGTGAGAATCTTTTAAAAGTATACACTATTATTAACTATAGTCACCATGTTGTACAATAGGAAAAAATCATACATGACTGATTTATAAAACAACCAAAACTGAAACCATAATACACATGTCTAATTGTTATAATGCAGCCAAAAAACACCACATTAATATTCAGTATATAAGATTCAGGTACTCTGAAAACTGGAAGTAGGATACATTAAAATGTCACTGTTTCCCAGATATATTTCCTTTTCTTTGTGTCCCAGTGAAAATTTAGATTATCTGAGAATCAGGCAGATTGCACTAATGAAGGCAAGAAAAAGGTGGCTTAACTATACCTCTTGCTATTACAGAACAAAGCATTACTGTGTATACTGTAAAGTTCATTAATGATGGATATGAAGAAAATAACAAACTCATGCTTATATAAAATACGTACAGATTTAGACAATTAACACTGAAATGCTTAAGTGAAGCCAAAGGCTATCAATGCATTAAGTAAAACTGTTCCTAATCTTCATTCTGAATCAACCCAAGACCTTCCATTTAACTAAAGGTTGTAATAAAAAATTTCAAGTAGAATTACTTTTAACTCACTTTATATTTTAAACTTAACATGTACCTTATTGTAGTTTGTTTTAAGGGAGGTTCAAGGCAGTGGAAAAGGAAAGCAGTTGGAAGCTTCAAAATCAAAGTAAAAAGAGATATCAATTCTTTAATGTTAGGAATGACTAGTGAAATAAAAGAATAAAACTACTTCTAGAGAAACTAAACGTTTTCCAACAACCACCACCTATCCACCTCTTTCCTGCAAAGAAATCATGTATGCTTGTTTCTGTGTGTTAGAAAAGATCAGCCCTCTGGGAAAGTATGTGAATGAGTCAAAAATGAGAAGAAAAAGTAGAAGATCTGGGAACCTGACCCTTTAACAGAGGAGATAATAAAAACATCTGGCATTTGCTGAAGTGATACTCAGTATCAGGCACAACACTAAGTAATTATATGCTTTATCACTTTCAAAGCACCCAACACAAAACAATCTCATGAGGTCCTGGATAGAGATTGCTAGCTACTTTCCCAGTATCCATTTTTCCCTTCTTTGTTAGAAATCAAATCTAATTTAGGGTGGCAACCATAAGCAGGTTAACTTGCATTTCCCAGTGCTCTATGGCTGCTAGTAGGCTACAGCCAAGTTTATCAAAGTATGACCAATGGAATCTAAGCATAGTGAGACTTTTTAATAAGCTCTTAAGCGTTACAAAGTTATTGAGCTTCTTTTGCCCCTCTTGCTTCCATTTGCTGCCTGAAATGTAGATATGATGGTTACAGTTACAGAAATCGTTCTGGATCACCTTAAGTCACAAGCTAATGAGAGAGTTGCTGATGACCATGGAATCACCTTAGCAGACCTGGACTTCTTACTGTAGAGCTTCCTTTAAAGGGGGAAAAAATATGTTTAAGTCACAGATATTTTGAGATGTCTGTCAGAGTACTATCCAGAGTTGTCTGCTAACAGGTGGATAGTATTAGAACCCTTATTTTACAGATGAGGAAACAGAGACCCACACAGTTAGGCAACTTGCCCACAATCACACAGCTAACAACCTTCAAGTGCCAAGCCCTTAACCACTGAGTGATACTGTCTTCAGACTGGACTGAAAGAACTCAGTGAAAAACTCAATAGAGGACAGGAGGTTTGACAAAGGGCAAGATAATGCTGAAAGAATATTAGTACCTCTACACTTTAGACTAGGACAAGACCTAGCTTAAAATGGTTGGAAGCAGCCCACAGTTAACCAAAAGGATATTCAGCCTAAAGGGTGAGTATACTGCAAGAAAAGACTGGGGCAGAAAATGGTGGGGCTATAATCAAAGAAGTGAGAGGTGGTGATTGGTAGGTCAGGGATAAGAACTCTAAACAGGGAAGAGACCTATATGAACTAGGCAGATTATTGGATTAAATAGAGAAGAAATAGCTATCAACTGGGAAATACCTATGAAACTGATTTCTAAATATGAACTAAGAATTCTTACAGAGAACATCTAAGAAAAAGTAGAATATCTTTAAGCAAATGGGAGGAAGAAATGTATTTATATAGCATATTAACAAAGGAACAACATTACATATTTCTGAGATCCAGTAAATTTTTGGTACTGCCCCAATTGGAGGTAGAAAAAAAGTACAGAGGTAGAAGAAGAAAGGGTGTAATCTTGTTTCCCTACAGTATCAGGCAACTTTTCAAGATCTTATGCAAGACCACAAGGCATTTGAATGCTCTGTTTCAGAGTCATTTGGGAAGTAAAGTATGAACTCTAAAAAATGGAATGGTGGGAGCTAAAAGTGAGAATAGCCAAGTTCTTAGAAACAGTAAGGTATGAATGAAGAAAGGATTTCATAAGGGCTCTCTCCAGGGGCTGGGGGAGATGCTACTGCTTTAACCAGCAGAACACTTTCTTCAGTTGTTGAAATTAACAAACTTATGATAAACGATTCAAACAATTAGACATTTTCCCCCAACAAAATGTCAACAGAAGCATCAAGAAAATCTTCAGTTAGCTCTTGTAGATGAAAATTAAAATGTTGGAGTACTGATGCTAAAACTCATGCTATGTTTGCAAAAACAGGCAAAAAGTGACCCAAAAGACCCTCAGTAAGTTTTCCAGACTCACATAGCTACAATATGATGATCAATTAATGGCAACACACATTCATTCACAGGCAAATAGATTTATATTCACTTCTAAAAATACATACTAATTGTTTTCTTATTATATAGATTCATGACATAAAATGTAAAATTACTATTTAAAACCTTTATGTGCACAGTTACCTTACAGGCAAATATCTATAAATCCTTTAAAGATCCAAGCACAAGCCAAGAACAGTAGTACACACTTGTAATCCAAGCTACTTGGGAGGTTGAGGCAGGAGAATGGCCAAGTTCAAGGACAGCCTTAACAACTTACAAGACCCTGTCTCAAAATTAAAAAAAAAAAAAAAAAAAACAGAGCTGGGGATGTAGCTTGATGGTAAAGTGCCCATGGGTTCACTCCTTAGTATGGGTGGAGTTGGGGGAGACCCAAACACAAGTGTACATGTAAAAATACCAGAAACAGTAAAGTATTTTGAAAATTAGCAAATTAATAAATGAAAAATGTGAACCAAGGCCAATACAGCTAAATCCCTGAAAGCTGTATTAATTAACCAAAACAGAATGAAAACTAATAGAAAAGCTTTCTTACTCTTAAGGACTCAAGGAAGATGCCTAATCACAAAGTTCATCTAATCTTTTATAAAATCACATGGGGGAAATACAGGAACTACTGGCAATTCTTGGTCAATCTTGCTGGATTTAACATACATCTAATTTAAATCGCTAATACCATTTTTTAAACATTAATGGTAGATTTATTTTATATTTTCTTTTAATATAATACAGGCCAAAACAATTCATTATCTTAGGCCCCTATTTTTAAAATATGTCTATAATGGACACTTGTTTAAAAATGTCTTTGTAGTCTTAAGTATAAACTCATACATGTAGAACAATAATAAAGAATACAAGAAAACAAATACAAAAAAAGAAGAATTTTTAAAATTCACAAATGTTTCCTGAGCATGAATTCATTCCAGGCACTTTGCTAAACACTTTTGTTACTGCTATGTTCAATTTACAACTGAAGAAACTGAAACTTAGTAAAGAATGAATCTAAGATTTCAGAGTACATAGTGAAAAATGGAATATTTTAATTCAGCAGTCAGGTTCGAGATCCCTCTCTCAACTACTACAACACATTCTCTCAACCTAACTCTTCCTTTTCCCTTTAAAAAGCAGAAAGCTGTTTCTCTCCATTTATGAAAAACAATATTTGTGAAACATCTTTGTAATATTGATGGGATTCAGAGGTAAGGTTGCTCAGCTAAAACTGTTTTTAAGAACATTAGGAATAAATGTTTATATACGAGTAACTGACACATTTTTAGTTATTCATTCAAAGATTCCCCAAAGGATCTCTCTTAACTGACCTTTTGCATGTATTATTTTAAAGTACTATAGAAATTACTTTTCTTAAAATTACTGTGAATATGCAAATAAATCTCAAGCTCTCCTTAGCTGAAATGAATAGAACTGTCCTTATTAGCACAGCGAATGAGAAGGGAAGGAGATGTAGCTGAAGAGAAATTCATGCCATATCTGAAAAATCACTTCTATTTTTTGATGACAACATATGACAAGGACCACTTAAGACACTGGCACTTACCAATATAAAAATATATCTCTTTTAAAGAAAAATTCTTGTCTTCTTCAAATCACTACACCCTTCTAAAGAAAATATTAAGACATATGGAAAAAGTAATTAGTACAACAAATTAATTTAAGTGACAGAATCAAGTTATAATAAACCCATGGAAATAATTAACAGCACA